TTGCTAGGGACTTGCCCGGCACTTGCTCTCTACCTCTATTTGTTATCTTTCTTCTATCATTGACAGTCCCTCTAGGTTGTGGGCTGCTTGCCTGTGTTCCTGAGAAGCATCTACGGTACCAGTCTATAGAGTGTGTTTTCTTTAGTGAATTACCGGTATGTTTACCGGTAATAAACTTGCACTGTTTTATGTATATGTTTGATTACATACAGCCTTGTGACAGTTTTCCTGCATGTCATAAGCATTTGAATATAAATTAAAATGTTAAAATCAAATCTGATATTGTTTTACCTTTTATTTGGTGTGTGGAAGGTGTGCGGAAGAGGGGGTAGTCTTATACGGCGAGTATATAACAAACTCTGTATTTTGAGTGGAAATGTTAGGGGGTCGTCTTATACGCTCAGTCATCTTATACGCCGGCAAATACGGTAACTATGCCAAAAATTAAGAGCAGAAGAAATACCAAAAGAGGCCATCCCAGCATTTAGAGATATTCCTATCAGTGAAGTAAACCAAATGTTCTATCTTACAGTCAAAGAACTTTACATAAAAGTATGTAGATTAACATAATTTTTTATAATTTTTGATATATTTTTGAACTATGTTGAAAATGTTAAGCTGAACTTCTCTTAGACTAAGTTCCATTAATACTGTAAATGTCCTCAAATATTAGTTATTAATGGACAGAATAAACAAAACATTGCATTAGCATAAAAAAGACAACAAAATGTACTCTGTCACTCATGGGAAGAAGAGTAAGTAATTCATGACACAGCTCCAAACCTTGAAAAGATTAAATGGATTAAAATAGTTCTTCTTTAATGAGTATCTACTATAGGCAAAGTAATTTATATAAGTACTAGGTATATAATCTATATGAAATAGGTTCAACAGGTTTGTAATCTAATATGGGAGAATGAAGGCTCACACAGAGATGGCTATTACAGGAACAACCCACAAGTTAAATGAAAAGAAGGCCACATTTTGAAGCCTAGCACACTGATTCATACTCTCTTTTTTGCCATCCAGGAAGCAAAGGAAGGACCATGGAGATGGCACAGCTTTAGGTCGGCTAGTCCTGGATTGGCATTCCAGTTTTACCACCACTAGCTCTATGACCTGGGAGAAATCACCTCATTCCCTTACCTTCAGTTGGGGAGGAACTGATCACCTCCAAGTACAAAAAGCATATATACATTATAAAGAACTATGCATTATGCCCAGCCGGTGCGGCTCAGTGGTTGAGCATCCACCTATGAACCAGGAGGTCATGGTTTGATTCCCGGTCAGGGCACATGCCCGGGTTGTGAGCTTGATTCCCAGTAGGAAGCATGCAGGAGGCAGCCAATCAATGATTCTCTCTCATTATTGATGTTTCTACCTCTCTCTCCCTCTCCTTTCCTCTCTGAAATAAGATAAAATAAACATTTTTTTTTAAAAGAACTATACATTAGTATTGAAGAACCTAATTTAATTTGGAAGATCAAGGAAGAGGGACCTAAGCTGAAATCTAACTGAGTGGGAGTTTTGGGAGAAATGAGGTAGAGTGGCATAAAATGAGGTTGAAAGTAGGCAGAGGCCCAGGCATAAAACTGAGAACAGTATACCCATGTTAAGGACTTGGGGTTTTATACCAGTGCATTGGGGAGGGTTTTAAGCAGTGGCATGATCTGATTTAAAAGATGGCTCTATCAGTCTAAG